AGGATAACTACTGTAGATTCTTTTAGAAATATCTAAACTCGTACTTTAATGAGATATTTTGTTTTAACTTACTACCTGCATTAATAGAATGATCAGAAACAGTTATAAATTCTTCATTGTAATAACAAATATAAAAATAATAAAATAAGTTTTTATATTTTTTGCCTCGGCCAGGGATCGAACCTGGATCATCGAGAGTTTAATCCTTAGAGCTACAGTTTATTTGAAAATGAGTGATAGCACAGTTTTTATGGCAATGGTGTATATACAGGATTGTTCAAAGTAGAAAAAAAGTAAATACTCATAATAATAATAATTTTTTATTTCATTGAGACCATTTACATGATATTGTAAAAGTCAAGTAGAATATTAAAAAAGGTATGTAGTATATAGGTGTGTGTACAACAATTTTAAAACAAAATACGAAGATAAATAAAAATACAAAGATAAATAAAAAGTACTGAAAGTTATAATCCAAAAATTCAGCTATATTATAAAATGCGTATTGTGACAAGAGATCTTTGAGATATTTTTTAAATGTATTAAAATTTTGACTTTCATTTAAGGAGATTGGTGTTTATTATATAACTTTATACCAGTATAAGATGGACTCTTTTCAAAAAACGCTGTCCGGTGAGCGGGTATACGTAGCCAGATTACCATGTCTAGTCTGATAGTTATGATTATCAGCACTTTTAAGGTTGGCGTTCGCCCATAGAAATCTACCGTATATGCGCGGATGACTTTAAACCAAGCTTTAGAGAAAAATATACTTCCTGGCATTAATTTTAATATTGAAAACCGTTCATAAAGTGTTCCTAGGGGTTGTAAAGACTTCTTAAAAAACGAAGTTGTTCTAAAGTACTCGAAAAATGATTTTGACTTTTGGCATCGAAACCACATATAATCGCGTTGACTTACTTAGGAATTTTCTTTAAAACTAAACATATTTACATGTTGTCTTTCCGTCACATCCCGTACAACCAATACAGAAAAATAATGAAATACATCACACTTCAAAATATTGTTTAATTTTTTTGAAAGCTTGGTTTAAAATTACATAGATTTTTTTATGAAAATACAATTGTGTGGTATATCGCGTGACATAGCGAAAAGTTACAAAGGCGAAATTGATCAGATAAACAGTTTTCGAGATATGGCCAGACGCCGCCCTTAATGAAGTCGGTCAGTTTCTTTCTAACGAATAGAATATTTTTATCGATACAAGGAAAAGTTAATATTTTGTATAGTTTAAAATAATCTCTACAAAAAGTGCGCTTATGAATCCCGAGAATAAGCCGTATTACTTTTTTTTTTTAATAAACAATTTTGTAGAAAATCTAGTGTTTCCCCATATTACATTATAAGACAAATGTGAGTATGTCATTGCATAGTAGATATATTAGAAATGTGCAAGTAAAAGAATGGAATAATCGTGAATACTTTTCTCTTTGACAAATATATTTTTATTGACAAAATTACTGACAACTCTCAAACTAAGTCTAACAATAAGTATATATGGGTAAGTATCAACTCTAACAATCCTCCCCCCTGAGCTTAAACCCAAATCTTTGTACAGGTTTGACTAGACGTCCACTTCTTGTCTTCAAACCTTCTTCTTCCGTTTCTTTTAGACGTGCCTGTCCATTCACGTCGTCTTTATCATCCTTTTCTTTCCCAACTAGCTTCTGTGTCTGCTCTGAATATTGCTTAACCGCCTTCTTTTCTAAGCGCTCTTTCCTTTCCTTCATAATATGAACCTCACTTTCGCAATCTGCGTCTACTTCCAATGGGTACAATTTTTAAAAAGGCCTTAATATTTCCCCATGTTGTAATTTTACCTTTGCTGCTCTGCAATTTCCATCTTTTCCTTCTATTAATTCTAGAATCCTACCCAATGGCCAATTTATTCTTTTTATATTTTCTTGTTCCACATAAAAGCAATATTCAGAGCAGACACAGAAGCTAGTTGGGAAAGAAAAGGATGATAAAGACGACGTGAATGGACAGGCACGTCTAAAAGAAACAGAAGAAGAAGGTTTGAAGACAAGAAGTGGACGTCTAGTCAAACCTGTACAAAGATTTGGGTTTAAGCTCAGGGGGGAGGATTGTTAGAGTTGATACTTACCCATATATACTTATTGTTAGACTTAGTTTGAAAGTTGTCAGTAATTTTGTCATTAATAAAAATATATTTGTCAAAGAGAAAAGTATTCACGATTATTCCATTCTTTTACTTGCACATTTCTAATAAGATATTTATTAGTTGTTGTTATGAGAATATATGTAAAATTGCATAGTAACAGCTACATACTTTCTTAGAAATGTGATCAGTACACCCCTGAAAGGTGAGAAATGAGTCAAGAATAGTGCCAAGGAATTTTGTTGTCTCAGAGGATACCTTATCTGAATTTTCACTAGAATAATAAAATATTTTTTTTCTGCACCCGTATTATAATGCACTTATATGCCCAGATTTTTCATAACGATACAGATTTTTAATCAATAGAAACCCATATTTTTTCAATCAAGCATGCTGTACATTTGACGTTTGTCCTAGGTTCCTATGTAATTGTATTAGTTGTCAAAATCAGTACTTACTAAATTTTCGTAGATAGCTAAACTTCGATAATTATAAGATCAAAATGTCTGATATCAGCAATATAGAAGACTTGCCATCGTCTCCTCCACACTTATCGGAGAAAGCAGAAAATGCAGTACAAAATATTTTGCCCCAAAATTCTATGGTAATACCAATACCCGAGGTATTAATTACAATTTGGTAGAATTTTTTATAGAAATACGAGTAATTACTGTTATTGTGTTCAATACAAATATAAATATAATATTTATAGTTCTTGATTATTTATCGGGTGTAGAAAAAATAGCGTATTAAAATAGTTTCTAAGATATATGAATTCTGGGACATTTTCAGCTGACACAACAATAGATAATAATCTTGAGTTTAAGAGGGCCAATTAGTAACGAAAACCTCGAAAAAAACATTCTTGAGATTTCTACAATGTCACACATAAAGTGCGCATCATGTGAATTTTTTTTTTCTAAATGCTGCAGATAAATGTTTACTTTGCCATCATTTGTTGGTCTAAAGAAATTTTTTTTTACCAATACACCAAGTTTCAAGCTTTTCGCGCAACGTTTGTTTTTTTTTATTTTTCATCTTTAATTTTTCGACCAATTCAGATTTGTGACTGTAATTTAAGCAAATCTATGTAAAAATGTATCTGAAGCAACATTTAAAAGGATTGCTTCGCGTAAAAAAATATGTGATACAGGTTTGCCTAAATGTCAGTAACCTACAAATGAATTGGTAGAAAAAATGGAAAAAAAAATTTTTCGCGAAGGACTTAAAAGTTGGTATATGGGTAAAAAATTAAAGAATAAGCAATTGTTTTTAGGTATTTCTCAAAATTTTGAATAATAATAATAATAATAATAATAATAATAATAATAATAATAATAATAATAATAATAATAATAATAATAATAATAATAATAATAATAATAATAATAATAATAATAATAATAATAATAATAATAATAATAATAATAATAATAATAATAATAATAATAATAATAATAATAATAATAATAATAATAATAATAATAATAATAATAATAATAATAATAATAATAATAATAATAATAATAATACTCTCCCTAATTCACCCCCTTACGAGTGAATTTCAACCCCTGAAGTCGACTGAACGACTTGTGTAGGGGAAGGGACGGCTATTATTATTATTTGTCGTGGCGCTCCGGGGCGACTTAAAGATGATTGAAGGTGCCATTTGACTTACAGGTGAGGAAAACCCGGAAAACCTCACCCACCATCATCGAGACGGTAATGTATGGCGAATTTTTTAATTCTACATGTCATATCAACAGAAATTGAATTTCTATTAATACGCCACACATCAAATCCTAAACCGAACCATGCAATTTAATTAAAAATCCACATGGTCTGGTCTGGGACCCGAAACCCAGCAGTCTCAGACTCATAAACTTGCCTATAAATGAATATAAGCGCGATAGACCGCTACACCACCATCCCGATGAAGAAATATGGCATTAAGACAAAATTTATCTAAAAAATTTGGAAAAAAAAACCCATATAATGATGCACACTTTATACCGGGTGAGTCATAAGTAGTGGGTCAAATTGTAACTGTAGATTCGGAAGGCAAAAATAAAAATATTTTACTTAACAACAATGGGTCTTTTTTTGTGTCTCAAAAAATTAACAAAAATATTTTTTTTCCAACTTTAACAGAGTGTGGATCAGAAAGGAGCGAACTCAGACCCATTGTTGTTAAGTAAAATATTTTTATTTTTGCCTTCCGAATCTACAGTTACAATTTGACCCATTACTTATGACTCACCCTGTATATGACACTGTAAAAAATTATATATGCATAGTCTCGTGCTTAGTTTGAAAATAAATCAAAATAAAATAAACATTAATATCTATTATGATATTTATGAACCTACCAGTAAAAGACATAATTGGGCAATTATAATAATAGTTATATTTTTTGTATTATAACAATATATTATACCTAGGTACACTAAAAATTTTTAAAATCCTATCGTATGTTAGAGATATCTATCAATAACGCATGTAGGGTGGGTTGCCCCACGGCACTTAGGCCTTACTTGACTCATTTTGCATCCTCCGAAATTGACAGGGCCCTCTAAGCTTCTCAGCCAGCCTACAATGTATTTTAACCCCTTTCTACTGCAGTGTTGATTGCCACCGTACCATACGCAATTGCCAACACAATTCTTTCCTAATCAGCGTGTATTTTCATTGCCACTTTCGGCTTATAAAGGTCGCGATAGCGCAACATTCTCAATGTAACGAATAGCCCTTTTCCTGAAAGGGTTCAACTTTACGTTACACTAACATGAGAGCATATAAATAACCCTAGCAAAGTGGAAAATACCGCGATTACTATCTTCATTCCATGCATTTCGAGATGCTCGATCGAAAGATAGGTTAGTTAAGGGTGGCAGGATTAAAGGTAAGCCCTTCATAACGATGCAAAGCCCAACTAAGATCGACTAACTAATCGACTAGTGGACCCGATACAGACGTGCTAGCATACAGGGATGGTTCACCCTCCGTTTCACCGGGCTCTATAATTCCGGATAATCAGGATTAAGGACGTTTGTTTTCTTCCTGGGTAAGATGGATGGGATCAAGGATGGCTCGGACTTTGCTGAAATCGATAAAAATTGGCGCGGTCTGGAGGATTTTCGGATATAAGCGATGATTTATTAATAGCGAAAGTGTTTTTAACGAAAGTCGCTTGATCGATTACATTATAACTGAATTGTTTTCTGAATTTACGTATTTGCAACATGATAGCCATTTTGTCGTACTATTTATTCTATCATAATATTTAAAATATGTCAGTTATGATAAAGAATATGTTTTTGAAGATTGGTTCGTTTAAATATGTCAGAACTGTAAACTCCACTAAAGCCTAACGCAATCATACAACAAGCATAGGTATGTGTCCAACAAAATACTGTTTATTACCTTTGAAAATAAATTATTGCCTTTTTTATATCGTCGATTTGTATTCCCGACGTCCTTGTCAAATATCATACGCCATTAAGAAAGTTAATAAAACAAATAATAGGCCATATTCCGGAATCTTGTTAACCAGAGAACAGAAAATACGAGACTATGAGAAATATTCAATAAGGTCTGAAGGAACGTTGAACGTTCCTAAATGTGGTGACTGGTTGGCCATTCTATCAGCAATTTCGTTTCGGTTCCCCTTTTCCAGCGTTGTCTTTTCGCTATAAACTACGAGGAGATATCCAATAATTCATTGGATATTTTTTTTTCAAAATTTTTAGGATTATTTTAATTGATTTTCTACATTCCACATTTTGTGAGGTATCCTCGATTAGCTTTATTTCGGTAATTTTGATTCTGTTGTTGAAGGTAAATACAGGGCCGTCCTGAGATTTGGCCCGTGGACTACCAACAATATAGGGTGATAAAATGAAAATAATCAAAATTTTGTTTTTATTTAGTAAAAATTGGATAATTTTTAACAAATTATAGGCTTCTTAATAAAAAACTGTTGCAAAAATAATCGATAACGGACATGATTTTCGTATTTAAAAGCCTATAAGTAAAATTTTTCAATAATACAAATCTTTTTACAGACTTCAAGGTCTACTGGTCCTCCTTGTAAAATTGTCAAACTTGCAAACTTCAATAAATGCAATATCAATGAATGCTATACTGTGTTGTTAAACTATATAGATCATTTACATAAATAAAAAACAGTACCGGCCCAAGAACTGACCCTTGAGGAACTTCCCACATGTCTAGAAAATTTAAATCTATTATAGCCGTTCTATTAAACTGTCTAATTTGCATTTATAATAGGAGGTTAGGATTAAATTTTCATATATTTTCTGTATTTGTTATAAAAATTTATAAAACAGTAATTTTTAAAATTGTATACACCCTCAATGACTCCAGTTTCTAAAACAGCCTCATAATCTGACAACTTTATATGATTTACGTTATATTTAACATTATTATACTCTTCACACAGTAGTCCGTGAAAAGTATTACCGAATTTCGTTCAAGAAACCAAAATTTTTTATATTGATCCAAATTTTAAAAAATTTGGTTCCAAATTCCTTCTTATCAATAAACAACTTTTAAAAACGTCCGTCCGTCCGATGTCACGTTTTTGTCCGCACAATAAGTCAAAGACGAAAAATAATACCAACTTGAAAATTTCAGGAAAAATCAAGCTTTATAAAGGGATGAAGCCTAATTATTTTGAATAAAAATGGAGGGGTTAAGAGGGTGGAAATAAAAAAAATCTAACTCAAAAACTAAAAATGATATCAACTTTAATAAATTTAACTAAAAATTGGGGTTTAAGGGGGGGTTAAAATAAAAATCATAAATCGAAAACAAAAAGTGATATCAACATGAAATATTTATTAAATCAAGCTCGGAAAAATCGGAATAAAAATGGGGGTCAAGGGGTTGAAATATTAAAAAAAAATCATAAATCAAAAACTAAAAGCGATATCAACATGAAATTTTTAGGAAAAACCAACTCTATAAGGAGATGAAGCCTATTAATTCTGAAAAAAAATCTAAATGAAAATTGGGGATTAAGGAGGGTTAAATTTTTAAAAAAAATCCCAACTCAAAATGAAGAATGATATCAACTTGAAATTTTTAGCAAAAATCAAGCTCTATAAGATAAAGAAGCCCTTTGATTTTGAAAACATCTTATTAAAAACGAGAGTTTAAGATGGGTTGAAATTTAAAAAAAAAATCATATATCAAAACATAAAAGCAATATGAACATGAAATTTTTAGTTAAACTCAAGCTCTGTAAGGGGACGAAGCCTATTGATTCTGAAAAAAAATTAATAAAAAAAGGGGATTAGGGGGTTGAAATATTTAGAAAAATCCTAACTCAAAAACAAAAAAATTATATAAACTTGAAATTATTATCAAAATCAAGCTCTTTAAAGGGACAACGCCTATTGATTTAAAAAAAAATCTGAACAAAATGAGGGGTTGAAATAAAAAAATAGAAATTGAAAACCAAAAGCGATATTAACAGGAAACGTTTAGGAAAAATCAAGCTATATAGGGGAATGAATATAAGGGGGGATACGGGGTGTTGAAACAGAAAACGATATCCAATTGAAGTTTTTAGAAAAATCAAGCTTTATGAGTTGATAAAGCCTATTGATTTTGAAAAATATATGATAAAATATAGCGATTAAGGGTGTGTTAATCTGTGAAGAGTATAATATAGAATGCCAAGCATTATATATCTTCATTCTAGTTTTCATTAGAAGTACTACAATTGGCTTATACAAGTAAGTAATTTAACATTTATATTATGTAAATTAAAACAGGTAAACAAATCACTAATTTTATAACAGAAGGCGAAATTTTTGACAATAACTCATAAAAATTTAAAAATTCCAGCGTACTAGGATTTTGGGGATGTGTAAATTCATGTCATTTATAATATAATAATAATAATAATAATAATAATAATAAAATAGTTCTTTATTTCAGGAGTATATTACAGATACATAAAACGAAATAGAGTCAAACGAGTATGTTGCAGATACATAAAACGAAATAGAGTCAAACAAAATACATAAACAATATTGTTTTAGGCCATCAAAAACTCATTTAGATTATATGGTTCTCTGTTAGCTAAATATATAAATAACACTTTCTTGATTTCTGTCAATTCATTAATTGTTTTAATATATCTGGGGAGGCTGTTAAATATTTGGATACAGTTATAGTCATTGTTGACTTGTGGTGTGGATAGACATAGTCTTGGTTTCTAGTGGGATATTGCGATGTACTAGTGTCGAAAAGATGTTTGTTTTTAATAAAAAACAACACATTCCTGTACATAGATTGCTGTCAATGTTAATAATTTATTTTGTTTAAACTTTCCTCTACATGAGTCTCCTACTTTCATTCCTAAAATATTTCGCAGAGCTCGTTTTTGGCAGATTTCAATTTCAATACAACTTCCATAAATTATAATACCATACCTAATATATTTTCAATTGTAGAATGATATACCATTTTTAAGGTTGAAAAATCTAGATATTTCTTTAATACTCTAAGACTATATGTCACTCTACCAAGTTTTTTTCGTGTGTACTCCACATGCTCAGACCAAGACATGTTGTTATCCAACACCATTCCAAGAAATTTGACACTTTTCTGTGGAGCCAGTAGAACATCATGTAATGTGAAACTTTGTGGTTCAGCAATTCGTGACCATTTATTTTTAAAAAGTAGTAGATTTGTCTTTTCCCTGTTTATAATCAATTAATTTTTTGTAAACCACTCATTTCCCACTTCAAGAATATGGCTTGCTCTTTACTCCAACTGCATCATTGTACCACTTTTAATCAGTATATTCGTGTCATCGGCATAAGTTGTTATAGAGCACAAGTCCACATTTTCACTTATTTCCTCTATATTATTGATATACAGTATGGTTCAAATGAAAGGAATAAATTCATTATAATGGAAGTAGTTGGTTTTTCGAAAAAATGCTCGGACAGGTCAATTTTGTTTACTTAAAGCGCAATTTTTTAAATAAAATTCAATTTTCCCCCACTTCCCATTTTTGGGCAGTGACGTCATTGACAATTTTTTTAAATAGCAACCCCAATTTTTTTTTTTCTTGATTATGATAGATCTTGCAATTTCCTACTCGGAAACATAATATTTGAAATATCTGACATAACAATTTTTTTTGAAAAAAAGTCATTTAAAGATCTCTGGGCAACCATTGAGTAACTCTTTTCTGTGAATATGTTGGATGTCGTTGACCCGCTAGATAACTCAGGGATTGGCATTAGAGGAGTTTGAATTTGAGTTCTTGTAAGATGCTTTATTTCATTTTGCAGGTATCCTATTCTGTAAGCAAGGGCAGTGACGCATTTATGTGTTTTAAACAACGCAGACTTGGCTTCCGTTTCCTTCTTCTTTTTCGTTTCCGATATTTCGTTGTTCTCTAGAAAGTCGTGTAAAAACTCTAACGAGTTCATAATGTCATCTATCATGTTGGTAGTATGAACTTCATTTTGGTGCGTAATTATTTCGTTATTTTCTATGCGTTCTTTTGCAACTTCTATTTTTTCTGTCTCTTTTAACAGTTTCAATATTTCTAAGTTTGCGGGGCTCGAGTCAGCTCGTGCTCTTTTTTTTTAGACAATTTTGGTTCATTTTCTACTTGGTAATTTCCTATACTTTCGGTATTTCCGTTCGGTGGTGTCCTTGATAAGGAACTGCGAGGCCTAAATAATTCATCTGTGCTTTGAGTGACTAAGTTATTTGTATCATCTTTATCTTCTAATATATTTAATTCTTTATAATTAGTTAAACGGCTCACCCTGTATGCTCGTATTATATTCAGATTTCTTTCTTTGTGCCCGGGTCATGATTTCAGCGTTTACATGTCCTTCGTTTTTATCATCCGAGATACTTTTTATCCGGTTTTTGTTGGATCTATCCACTTCTTTCAAAGTTTTCTCCTTATCGTTACTTTTATCGCTCATTCAGAGTTCAAATATTCAAATCAAAAGATCGAGAGCACCTAATACACGTCTTCACTGTACGACAGGTACAATACAATTCTCTTTAAATTCTCTTCAAATTCTTTTCAAACTTACTAATTTTCCAACATTTTGAAATTATTTAAAAATCTTCTTAAAGGCATTCTGGAACGCCCTCGTATTTTGGCGTATAGTGTCGGCCGACGGCGACGGGCGTCGGGCGTCGTTTTAGGAGACGCTCATCGCCGGGACGCCATCAGATAAATCGTCTACCGTTGTTGGCGTATGCTCGCACAACACACTAGATGTTCAAATTGGATAATAATATGTTTCATTTCCGGGATTGCTTGTATTGTCTACTATGGTATACGCCAGGAAGACAAATTATCTTCTGTCATATGGATCGCTCGTTCCAAAATTGAGCTCAGTAATCAATGGCGGTTTGTTAATTTTCTATGTATTGATGGCATTCGCGCCATGAACATAAATACCTGGTAATGTATTAACTACTGTAAGTTATAAATTTACTATAAAATGTTTTTTTTCAAAGAAATTAACCCAATGTTGATACACAAATATGTAGAATACCCCCCAAATATTGATATATATTAGCTACTTTTGTAGTACTTTTAATAACAATAATTTTAGATGTTAACTCGCTTAGGGAGAAGAAAAGAAAAAAGTTATGGGTTTTTGACAAAAATGCAAGACTAGATAATCTTGAAAATGGTTGATCCGTCTACTTATAAATATTCCGTCTCTTGGAGGATGGTCAAAACAGAACTCTAACGTAATAATCGCTCCAGCAATTATATTGTTCTAAGAGATACACTTAATATTTAAAAATCGTAATATGACTGTATTACATTTACATTCCCTTTCCTATGTTTGAATATTAAATATAAATTTGCAAACATAAAACCCTGACGGGAATTCGAATACTCGTTGCATCTTTTGGATAATTACACTAATAACTATTAGTTGTCGTTAGGACTATGGATCATGAAGGGCCATCTCGGCGTTTTTAGATATATTGTTCATATCATTTAATCATTGTTTACAGTTTAGATCACCTTATCTCCGCTAATAATTATATTAACAACAACGTTTTTGTTCCAGGCTACCACCACACATCCCATCAGCCGCCGCGGATAACCGAGCACCCCGTAGATACGACCGTAGCGCGTCACGAACCTGCTACGTTGAACTGCAACGCCCAAGGTGATCCAGAACCGACCATTACGTGGTACAAAGACGGGCAAGTGCTAAGAACGGCGCCACAAGACGCCAGGTCTCACAGGGTCCTACTACCAGCGGGAAGCCTGTTTTTTCTAAGGGTGGCTCAAAGCAGGAAAGAGTCCGATGCTGGTACTTACTGGTGCGAGGCAAGTAACGTACTGGGGAAGTCTAGGAGCAGGAATGCGACGTTGACAGTGGCAGGTTAGTAACGATCACATCAATAATTTATTTAGTTCCTGTTTTTAAGTGGCGTATTCTGTAAGACATAGGACCCAAAAACAATGTATGACACTTATTATAGGTGTTTCAACGTTTCATGAATCCCATATAAAAACAAGAAATTATGTTTCCAAACTGAGTATATTTCTAAAAAATTCGCCAAAGGTCGTTAGGGAATAAAAAGTTAGACAAAGCATAGAACATTTTAATAAAGGAGCCCACTGCAAAATATTGGTCGATATAACTGGTATGGGTAAATTTTTATGGAAATGTGCAATAGTAAACCGTCGGCAGCCGCGCCAATGTCGTTTGCGTTTCACGTTATAAACAATTGTAAACAATTTCAAAAATGTGCCACCCTCCACCTATCGGTTTTTTGGAAAAGTTCCTATCCGATCGATAATAATTAGTGTTTTCTATATCCGGCTGCGGACCATCATCCTTTGCGTTAAGGGTGGCTGATGGGGTTGAAAATATCTTTTTATACACTCATCGCTTTTGTAGTCAAACTAAATACTGCTGGAAAGGTGGCTAAATTTCCAAAATGAAAATATCCGGCTGCCGCGCTAAAGCGTTCGCAAAACTTAGGCTGTCAATAATTTGTGCGCTCTTGAATTTCGGTCAAAGGTAGAATGTCGCGTAAGATATTTTTATAAATATTTAAATTAACTGTTGTTTTTATTTTTTTTTTTATTATATATGTTAAAACGCATTTGTAAATCTAAAGTAGAAGATATGTAATTTTCAATAGAGCCAAATAGAGAGAGTCTTGCTCTTATTTTTTTGTTAATTGCAATTTATTTACCTCATACATTGTTTGTTAACGACGCGCTCTTCGAGTACGTCACAATCTAATATAATGTCTCATAGTCTTTAAAACGGGATTGTTCTCTTGTTCTTCCCTAAGTTTGGTAGAGGCCCACTCATCGTTGACTACAGTTGTTATTAGTAGTCCACTTTCTTTGGATTCTGCTCTGTTGCAGTGATAACACTTTGCTAGACACGGTCTTCTAGAAAGAGAATCGGCATATATGTGACTTATTCCGGCTCTATGTTCGATCTTAAAGTCGTACTCTTGAAGTCGTTCAATTCATCTGGCGATTTGATCCTCCGGGTTTTTGAATTTTATTAACCACTTATGATCGGTACTGATTAAGAATTTTCTTCCATAAAGGTATTGGTATAAGTCTTTCACGCATTTCACAACTACCAGGAGTTCTCTTCTCGTGATGCAGTAATTTCGCTCAGGTTTCGAGAGTACTTTGCTAAAATAAAAGCATTCCTCCAATTCCCACATTACTGGCATCAATATCCAGAATAAATTCTTCCTCTGGTAGGGGGTAGCCTAGTATTGGCGCTGTTGTTAAATACTTGTTTAGTGTTTCAAAGGCAGTTTGGCAGTCTTCGTCCCAGCAGAATTCTCTCGCTTTTTCTGTGAGTCGTGTTAATGGCTTAGCAATATCTTCAAACTTCCTGATTAATCTTCGATAGTACGTACATAGCCCAAGAATACTTCTTATTTGATGTTTATCAGTTGGTTGTGGCCACTCTTTGATAAAAGCGACTTTTTCCTTATCTACAGCCACGTCATCCTTGCTGACTATATAACGCAGGTAATTAATTTTATTTTGAATAAGTTGGCACTTCTTGGGGTTAAGCATTAGTTGGACAGCTTGGAATTTTTTAAAAACATCTTGTAAGTTCTTAAGATATCCATCTAAGTTCTTCCCCAAGACTACGATGTCGTCTAAATACACCAAGCATGTTTTCCAGGATAACCCTCTCAATACATTTTCCATAAATCTTTCAAATGTCGCGGGGGCATTATATAGTCCAATGGCATAACAATGAATTGCCAGTGCTAAGAACTGTCTTTTATTTATCTACTGGGTCCATTTCCACCTGCCAGAATTCAGACTTCAAGTCTAAGCTAGAGAATGGTTTATTTCCAGCCAATGTGTCCAAGATATCGTCGAGTCGAGGCAGAGGGTAATTGTCTTTCTTGGTAACATTGTTCAACTGACGGTATTATATACATAACCTCGTAGTTTCATTCTTTTTCTGGAATAGGACTACCGGAGAAACCCATGGGCTGGTAGAAGGTTCTATCATCCTATGTTTCTTCATTTTCTGAACAATCCGTTTAGCTTTCTCTCTCTTAGCCTTTGGTAATCTTCGAGCTGATTGACGAATCAGACTGGCATCACCAGTCTCAATTTTATATTTTACAACAGAAGTTCTTCCTGTTTTTCCTTCTTTTGGTAAAAAATATCACGATATCGTCGAATAAATTCCCTTATTTTCTTTTTCTCTAATTTGATTCAGAGATTGACCAGCAACTGCAATCATTTGCTCGACTTTGTCGTTGGAATTATCAGAAGTTGTTGTCTGACGAGTTATGGAAGTTACTGGTACACAAGTACCAATTCTGGTCTCTTTCTTGATGGTAATTGGGTATTCATTAACGTTTATAAAACGAACTGGAATCTCTTTAGCAGTCGTGACCAAGGTTTCATCATTACAGGTGTTCCTTCTTCTATAGTTTCTTAAAGCCGTGCTATACTATAATGGTTTCACTTCTGCCAGGTACCACCGTATCTTTCTGTAGAGCAACTGGCACGGAACGGTCCCCACGGATGTAGGAATACCCCTTCGGTACCAACTTTGATCACTCTGTTCTTAAAGACTAACTGGAAACCATGTAAGTTCATTACATCCATTCCAAGAATAACATCTGTTTCGATATCAGCGACAATAACAGTATGAGTGAACTTTTTTGTACCAATTCCTAATTGAACCTGAATTTTTCCATGGATGTTGGCACTTTTACCTGTGGCAGTCCGCAGTCGTAATCTTGTTGGTAGAAGTCTCTTGTTATAGAAGACGCATCATCCGAAAATAGAAATGTTCCGGAGTCAAACCTTTGCTTTCCATTGTTTCATTAAGCCGCTCAGTCAGCTCTGCTTTCTTCCCTGTCGTCTCCAGATCACGATCTTTTAATTCTCGACGCAATTCAGCCACTTTTATCTTACACATTTTTTTAGCCATTTTTGTCCACTATTTGTTTACAGTTCCACTTCTAACACCAATGTAACATTTGTCTAATTTATTTATAGTTTATTTATTTAACACTTTATTCACAATTTATTTATAACGTACTAATTAACTTATATAATACTTAGGCACTATTATAACTCACAATTCTAATTATTACAATTTGTCTTTACTGTCCAACATTTAAATTTAACCTTCCCGTCCGTCGACGACTCGCGTTATTTATATAAAGCCAGCTCTGTACCAGAACGCTCTAGGCGACCTAGAATATTCGAAAACCCCCTATCTATGACTCATACGCCGTCTCGATATGGTCAGTTCTAGACTTCCTGTCGCTGTACGGTAATAAACAAAGCACAGGGTTGGCTTTGCGCGACAATACAATTTGTTTCAAAAAGTGTTATACACATGAAAAAAGTTTTATCTTACATTTCACCCAAAAAATTATACTAGATAAAATGTTTTGCATCACATGGAAATCAAGCATTGGTTCTAGATTATTATTAGTATATCGAAATCACTTAAAAATAAATGCAATGATTTAAACTTGGGTGGCGCAAAATGAACGTTATGATTTAAATGCTTTGTAACTTTTATTTTTAAATAAATTTTCAACGTTTTTCTATGAAAATATAGCCTATAAATGGGAAATAATTTTAGCGTGAAAAACTACTTCTGGCAAATGTCGCCCATTTTCTGCTTCACAAAGTCGTGCTCTTTCCAACACATGTTCCATGCCTTTTCGCAAGATCTCAGGTGTTATGGCACGGATTTCATTGCGAATGTTATCCTTTAATTGAGGGATGGTTTGTGGCTTATTAAAGTAGACTTTTTCTTTCAAATAGTCCCAAAGAAAAAAGTCTGGAGCGGTCAAATCCGGCGAGCGCGGTGGCCAATTAAAGTCGCTTCGGCATGAAATAATGTTATCACCGAAGATCTCACCAGTGTGTCCCTTGCGGTATAAGCCGTGGCACCGTCTTGCTGAAACCATATTTGAGGACGGTTTGCCACAGCTGGCCCCAAAAAAGTTTCCAACATGTTTCGGTAGTGGGCAGCATTGATGGTAACTGCAGCACCGACTTTATTCTCGAAGAAATAAGGCCCAATGATCCTTTCGGACGATACTCCGCACCAAACAGTACATTTAAGTGGGTGCAGCTCTCGCTGATGAACCACCCTTGGATTCTCCGTAGCCCAAATCCTACTGTTTTGTGGACAAACCCATTTAATTGAAAATGGGCTTCATCGCTCATTATAAGATTGTCAATAAAATCGCGATTTTCTCTAGCTTTTCACTGCAACGCAACAGCATAATCAAGCCGCTGTTGTTAGTCTGTCGGCCTTATTTCTTGCACCAGATGGATTTTATAGGGAAACATGTGCAATGTACACGTTCAATATTTTCGCCGGTGCACGCTGAACGTGGTCTTCCGGTATCAGGACGGTTCCTTGTTCCTTACTGAACCTTGTTGCTGAAAATTAGCAACCAAGCGAATGATTGTTGGTGCTGAAGGTTCAACCCGCATATTAAAATGTCGGCGATACGCACGCTGCGTCAGAATAACTGACTTTCCGTTTGAAAAATAAAATTCGGTGATTTTTGTCCTTTGTTCTATGGTGTATTACTCCATTTTAAATTCCCCAAGCCTTCTTTACAAATTTCTGAAACAAAAGAGAAAATAATTTTATAAATAAAAAAGTTTCAAAGCCTTCAAATCATAACGTTCATTGTGCGCGACCCTGTATATATTTTAATTCCTATCAACATTTTAATTAATATTTTGCACTATATTGAAATTTAAAAGTATTTTATTATTCTATTTTTATTTTCCCTGTATACCTACCACCAATATTTTACAAAATGTAATGTTTGATTAGAGATTTCCAAGTGATGCAGAACATTTTATCAAGAGTAATTTTTTTTTTTT